CCTGTCGAATATCGTGGAACGCAGTATTAACGGCCAGAAGAAGATGGATAGCCCAGGCGCTGCAAATGGCGCTACGCCAACTCAGTCCATTCCGAAGCCTATCTTCGATGGATCTACTATTCAGGTAAAACAAGTATGGGAAGCCACTAACACTGGCCAAATTAAGGAGAAAACGGGTCTTGTCAAGACTGTGGAGGCAATTCTAAAACAAAAAAAATCACTTTGTATGCTTTCGGAGACTAGTTGGCGTGATCCTGTGAAGTGCACTTATTTTATACGTGGACTACCTCGTATAGCTGCATAAAATCAATTGCTTAATTGAAAAACCAAGATTTTTTTAAGATGTTCGAAAATGAAAAAAGTGTGAGAGCTATAAAAGCGTCTAGTTAGAAAAAGTATGGATTACCAAAACAATTTTTTACAATTTCGATACAAGTGCCTACATCACATATACCCGTAAAAAGCCAGCAAGAATTAGAAAATTGGGTCTTAGGCAGTTTGAAGCGACATGCGTAAGTGCTCTAGTTACTTATTCAGCTCTGATATTGTGATAGATAACACCTCACGATTCAGGAGAACCCAGAACTAGTGGAAATGAGTGGTTCGATTTCCTCCCAGATTAAATCTTTTGCAAAAAAAAACGTCTTCATCATCAACACGGTGCATCCGTCCAAAACCGCCCAAAGTCGGGTGTTTCATAGTTATGAAAGACTTCTTAGTACATTTGTTCGCAATAAACGAAATAAATGTGTAGAGAACCGGAAGCTACAAACGTCTACTGTTGACGGATGCTAATTTAAAAAGAAAAAGCAAAAAAGGAGAATAAAGATGTGATACTAAAAGTATTAAATTCAACTTTTCGAATCTGTCAAGAAGTCATTTATAGGTTACGGTAACGAATGAAAGCGGTCAAACGCTGGACAATACGAGTGATGGCGAGGATCTGAGTCCGCAAGCCGAAGTGCTTTTGTTTGCAAAAAAGCGCGTACGAATGCCGAGCTCCATTCTCAGCGAACTCTATCCAAAACTTCCCAGCCCCTATTACAGGTGATATTTGCTGTGGAGGCAATGTTCGAGCAAAATGTGGAGGCCTGTTGCCTCGATCTTTTTACAGGCCCTTACTAACTTGGTATTTATTTCAGGGAATGTCATTTTGGCGAAGTGGACATATCAGAGGACAAAGAGAATGTGCAGTATGGCGATACCAAATTTGCACCGAAATATCCTTTTTATACTGAATGAGAAATTGCTCTTGTTTTCTTGTTACGACACACCGCACTTGTACATTAGTTATATAAGGCCAAAACAGGCATTCCAACACTTCCCCAGTTTTGCAAGCACACAAGGTAGAAGATTCTCTTTCCATAGAAATGTACGGGTTTTTGCATATATGGACATCAACATTCCCTAAAAAAATCGATTTGTAAATTTTTTGAGTAAGTCCGAAAAAGTCATAACCCACTCCATCATTATTCTGCAG